CTTTGCATAGGGACCATCAGATATGGCAGCCTTGGTCCATAGGCATTGTTCTTTAACGTCTGCTACAATGAACAAAGAATGGTAAATGCTGGAGTCTGGATCTCATTTGTATAACTCTAACTGGGGACACAATTATGAAAATAGAATTACAAGACCCAGATGGTCAATCACCCTTTGACCTGGCTATCAGTCATTGAGGAAAAAATACACAATATCCAAAGAGATGTCATTCCTTCATTCCTCTCTTTTCCCTGATCTTGGAGAGATGTTTTATACTGTTCAACTGAGAGCACTTGCTTTTAAAGTCTTGAGACTGATCCAGTCCTAGCAGACTATTTAGTCACACACACACACATGCGTGCACACACACACATGTTGCTGGAGATTGAAGCAAGGGTCTCATTCATATAAGTCAGGTAAGTGTTTACAACTAAATAATATTCTCAGCTCTTAGAAGCCAACATTAAAGTATCATTCACTCTTTTAGAGGGACTGGGAGGCAGGTAGAGAGTCTAAAGCTACAATCCCTGAATGCTTCTGCTCCTAGGACTGTCATTTAAAAGAAGAATCCAAAAAGCTTGGGCTCCCAAAAAACAAAACAAAAGAGCAAAGCTGTTTCTCTTCTGGTTGTACGTGTGATTTTTCTGTTTCTCAAACATTTTGTCTTCTCTACCTTGAATTTTCTCAGGAATAACTAGAGAGCTCAGCTCACCCACGTCTGTCTAACCTCCCCCCACAGAGGAGACTGCACTGCCTCCCACAGGCTGACGGCCCTTCCTATCTCCATACTTAGTGAAGTCACATCACCCTTTCTTCCACTAAATTCAGCTTCTCAAGGGTAAGAGTTGAAGGTTACTTGCCTTTGTTCTACCAGTAGCTGGCACAGTTCTCAGATGACTGAAATTCAACTGCCTTTGACTTACTACATGGAAAAAGCTCTCGTTAGCTAACCCGAATTCAAGCACCTTGAAACAATAAGCTGGGAGACTTCACAAGCCTTTCATTATTAGGTGATTCTCAGGGATATTTGGTACCCAATTAAACTAAAGGAAAAGATAACAAGTGTATTTTAGGATTATGTGCGGTGAGATTTATCAGCCCTGCGGTGGTTACTCTTGACTATCAACTTGGCTAGGTTTGAAATCGCCTAGGAGACATGCTGCTCAGTGTGTGTGTGTGTGTGTGTGTGTGTGTGTGTGTGTGTGTGTGTACGCTTCTGGAAAGTTTTAACTGAGGGAGACTTACACTGATTATGGGTTCAGGACTTGGGCTGGGGTTCAAGACTCGGTGAGAAGAAGAAATAAGTTCATCACTAGCATTCCTTCCTGCTCCTGATTCTGTTGCCTCCGCCAAGAGATGGCTCCACCATGCCTTTCCAACACAATGCACCCTCAAATTGCAAGTTTAACAAACCCTTAAGTTACTTCTTGTCAAATTCTTTGTCCCAATGAAAAGGAAACTAATATGCCCTCTTGTTCCAAACCTGACCCCACATCTTCTGAATAAGAAATAAGGAGCCCCAAGAGGGTCTCCAATTGGTAAGTACTTGAGATGACATTTAGGGACATTAACTCTTTGAGATTCAGTAGCCCATGCTTTTTGTATTATTCTTGTAAATGACAGTCCTAGATCTGGGAGCAGACTCATTCGGGGATTGTAGCTTTAGACTCACCCCCTGGCTCCCATTCCCTCTTAGAGAATGAATAACACTTAAAGTCAGGCTTCCAAGAACTGAGAGTACAGTTCAGTTTTGAAGCACTTACCTGACTTATATGAATGAAATCCTTGCTTCAACGTCCAGCAAATATATATGACTAAATAGTGACAAGGAAGAACTCAGTAAATTTGGAGAATTTTATAGGTGATGGGAGTATCAGTAAATAAAATGAGCAGGTGAGATCCATGATACTACACTACAGTCTGTAGCAAAAGAAGAATATAAGGTCCATTATGGATGATCCAAAATATTCTTGAGAGGAAATGAGCATTTCCTTAGGAATGGTTCTCAACCTTCCTAATGCTGTGCTCTTCAACACGGTCCCTTGTGCTGCGGTGACCCCCAACCATAAATTATTTTCACTGCTACTTCATAACTGCAATTTGATGATTATTATGAATCATCATATAAATTTTTGGAGATAGAGGTTTGCCAAATCGGTCCCGACGCACAGGTTGAGAACCACTGCTCTAAAGGAAGAAAAATGCTCTAGGTTCATGGACTGGAAGAGTCAATATTTTATAACTAATTCTTCTAAATTGATCCATATTTCAAAGCTCTATGAAGGTCTGTGAAATTTTTTTATCCTGTTCTAAAAAGAGTATACAAATATGAAGGTGAAAAGAACAGCCTGTGTGAGCTTGAAAAGATGACACCGCCTAGACCTCTCAGTGACAGGACTCATTAGAAAGCAACAGTGACTCAAGCGGAGTCATGTGACAAGGTTGTCTAAGCAGACTGACATAATAAAATAACAATTAATGGAACGGAATAAAGGAGTGGCTCACACATGCAATGCCACCTGAGTTATAAAGAGAGAATGGCGTATGACAGAAGATAACAGGCGGTCTTGCCAATAATCCGCGTTAGGCCTGTAGGACATTTGTGCTGAACAACCAAAAGCCAAACTTCTACTCCTATTTCCCTTCATGTTCAGGTGGCCCACACATTACCACCTTAAAATTGAAATAAGCATTTTACTAAGGAGTATCTATCTTCTAAGCAGATTGTTTACTAAGGTATCAAACAAAATGACAACCCTTGATAGATTCATTCAGACTACTGTCAAAAGCCTGTACTTAGCGATTGATTCCAAGAAATAGTAAGGTATGCAGTAATAGAAAGTGTTTCCTGACATACTTATATCAGCAAAGGAATCGTGTGCCAAGGAAATATTCATAATACTTAGCCCAGGAAATAAACTAAATATTTTTAATATTCAAAATATGTATTGGCATGGTGACAATCTCAGTACTTAAAGAGGCAGAGACAGAAAAAGAGCCCTAAATTAGAGGCCAGCCTGGTCCGCTTGGCAGTTTCCAATCCAGCGAAGACTGTATAGTGGGCCTTGTCTCAGCACAATGACAAAATGTTTAAAATGTTTAACCTGGAATTTTACAGAAAAAAACAAATGGATGTCTCTTGCTAATAAATAGCATAGGAAAACAGTGAAACTAATTGATCATCAAAGAGACTAAATTAAAAACGTAATGAATAAAACGATGTTTGCTAGATGGCTATTATTGAACATACTGAGGATGCTAAGCGATACCAAACTTTGACTGTGAAAAGACTCCTGCACCGCTGCCACCAGTGAGAACAGAAAGCCTACATAAGCACCTGGGAATGTACTCGGTAATGGCAGCAAAGATACCCTCCCTTAGAGCCGACAGTTGCTGTCTTAGGAAGACACCCACAGAACGGGATTCACATTTGCTCATCAGTCAAGTTAAATTGTTTACAGCATCGCTCCTTAAGTAGTTGAAAACTTGAAAATTCAAATGTCAATCAATGGCAGACCTGATTAATAAATTGTGTCATACCCATGTAATTGAACATCATACATTTCAGATTATAATATGAATAGACAAATACTACCATACATACAAATTAAGCAGGATTTTAGAGTTGAGCAAAAGGAGACAGACACATTTTTCTCTTCCACTAACACAAAGATCAAAACCAGGAAAGAGCAAGGGCCACTTGTAGAAGTCCTATAAGTGGGCATCTTGGTGAGGGAACGTGGAAGGGGTCTCTGGGAATGCTCTTCTCGTGTGGGAGTTATGCCAGGGACTTTGATTTTTGGAGATTCACGGAACTCTATGTGAGTTTGTGTATGCCTTACTAGAGAAACTATTATAGAAGGAAGACAACGGGTTCACAGTAATTAAATCACAATGCAGGAAAACTGCCTTTGACTTGGAAATGGCTCTTTCCAGCCTGTAATAAAAAGAAACCTTTCTCTGGCTGAACTTGCTTTTTCCTTAGACAGTTTTCAATAACAAATATTGGAGTGGCTTGCCTTGAAAGAGAGAGATTGTAGTTCGGGGCAGGAGATAGATGATGCCGGGATAATTGCGTGGAAGGAGAGACAAGAGGCCAGCTAGAAGTAATGGTTCAGAGATAGAAATCACGGGAACTGAAGTTTAATTATCTATAGGATGAGAAAATGGGGAGATAAAAGTGACTCCAAAGTTTCCAGCTTGATAGATTTAAATGATTATATGGGGATGGGGGGGGCACACTGGGTCACTTGGGGGAAAAGTTTGGTTTGAGTTATTAGATGGTTGTTTGTCTTTATGCTATCTAAAATATGGATCTGGAACCTGGTTAAAAAAAATTTAACATTAGAAGCATGAGTTTGAGTCCCTTCAAATGCATGTTTAAACCCCAAGAATATAGGAAATTCCCACTTTCTACCCCGGGAAAATGTGTGTTATGAGGAGATAATAGACTCACATATGCACACCAGGGTCAGTGATCACGGAGAGTCTATGCAACAAGCCCATACATCAGTTATCTCGACTGCTTTTAATATATTCAAACACTCCATTGGCATTAGTAATTATCATGTATTTTGTCTTTTGCTATATATTTCCGAAGTATGAAAATTGTTGTTAGAAGCATTATAAACAATACCAGCTACAAACCAAATTTGTCACTCATATCTGGACTTTAGTGTTACCAAAAAAACCAATATTATATGGAATCTCTTATAATGGCAGCTGTGTTGGAGATCTTTTAGAGCAGTGGCTCTCAATCTGTGGGTCTCGACCCCTTTGGGGTCTAATGACACTTTCACCGGAGTCGCCTAAGGCCACCGGAAAACACAGATCTTTACATTACAATTCATAACAGTAGCAAAATTACAATTTGAAGTAGCAACAAAAATACTTTTATGGTTGGGAGTCAGCACAACACGAGGAACTATATGAAAGTATCACAGAAATAGAAAGATTGAGAACCACTGTTTTATAGTGCAAGAAAAACGATGTTAACTTACCATTGTTCAAAATTTCATGATCAGGAGTGTGGACCAGATATAATAATCTCCTACAAAATAAAGATTTTTGAAATAAAACATGATTATCAATGAAATGTTTACAGGTTTGTATAGCATGATTAATAAATACTTAAACAATTTTCTTTGTTGGTAAAATATAGTTTTCTTCACCCCAAGTCTCACTGAGCATTCTTGTTACCTAGAGATCATGATGCAACTCTAACTCTCAAGGACAATGTCCAGCACAGAAAAGACACATTTGACTTCCTCTTGTGTGAATCCATTGTCCTGACTATTCTTATTTAGCAAACTACCCCCAAACCTAGTGGCTTACTACAACCCCTATTTTTACAATATCCAAGATTCCAAAACTAAAACAAAAGCAAACCTTAAAATGGTCAAGTATCATAAAACAAATTAATTTTTTTAAAGATAGAGAATTGTGTCTAGAACAAGACCTACCAAAGCACATGATGGAAAGTTGATAGTAAGATATAGATAATTTTTAATTCTGATAAATAGTATTAAATGAGTAGAAACAGAAAAACTGCTCCTTGTTTTTGATGCTTTGATTTACTGCACATAAACCAGACCCTTGCACTTGTGCTCTCCTGGGACTAAGGAGACAGTTCAGCCAGTGAAAGTAAGAGGCCCAGGGTTTAGAGGCTCAGAACCCATATAAATGCCAGCTGGCCGTGGCAGCCTTCCTATAATTCCAATCTCAGAAGGAAGAGACAGGTGATTCCATTAGAAAGCTGGCTAGTGAGACTACACCACCACTGTTAGTGAGCTCCGGGCTTCACTGGGGAAACCTGCCTCAAAGAATAAAGTCAGATATCAAGGAAGAGCCTGATATCAACCTTACGTCTTTGTAGAGAGACCCACACTTATGTGTAAACACACTTAAGAAAAATGCATGCACATACTACACAGGTATACTTTTGGCTTTTTCTCTCTAATAACCAGTGAAAACAATACTCAAAAATTTCCGCATGGTTTCCACATATTTGCTTTGGGTGCTTAAGAGTTAGGAAAACAAAATTCATGACAAACATGTTCCTCATGGATGCCATCCCTTATGTTAGGCACACTATTGATTTAGTCAATTAATCCTCAAAAGAATCTTTGAAATTGAAATTTCCATTCTCATTTTATAGATAAGGAAATTCAGGTTCAAGAATGCCATAATTGGGTAGTGCAATGCATTTTATATTATATGCACACATATGTATATGCTCAGATATTCATATACCATTTGTAAATACATTATATGTGTATTTATATAACACACTTGCATTATATTGAACAACATATACTATACTTAAGTATTTATAGTTTATATGATATATATAAATTGTATTTTATTACATATAGAGTATATTTACCTGTTATATGTTTACTATGATATAATTTATATACTTATTTATATTGGGGGATATATATATATCAGATCCCTTGCTTTCCTTCTGCTTCTTATATTAGGAAAAAAATACTTTGCTAGCCTCTTAGATGTACTGCTACTTGATAAAGCACAACACCCTAAAATCCCTTTCCAACCCAGCATATTCTAGTGCACATCAGGTCAGCTAGCTGGCTATGTGTTTAAGAACAACCCAGGTTGAATGCACAGTAGTTATGATCAGCTGCTTTGCTATAGATAAAGCAGGCAACATATTTCCGATCTGGGATTTCAAATGAAATCTATGCCACAGCCATCCTGTGAATTTCAGTACTAATTTTTCTTCAAATGATCAGCCCTGTTGAGTTGTCAGCTGACAAAGGCTAAGAGGATCACTAGATTGTGAGTTGGAAAATCAAGACCAATGCTGAATTGTGTCTGGTTTTAAATTCTCTTGATAATACCCTGTCAAGCCAGAATACAATGAAATTGATTGGAATTTACCTGATATTGATAGCGATATTTGTGCAAGACCTTTCTTCACACTGCTCTTGAGGGGAAATTATCTACCCAGGGGTATGGATCCTGGATTAAGATATGCCTCTACACATTATGCGATGATATCATTCTATGCTCTTATAAAGTGTTTTATTAGCTTCATTAGTTAAGTCCCATCTCCTTCACTGGAATTTTCAGCACTGTATCTGGACCTTGCCTATATCTCTAGTCATGAGTTCAGGGTGAACCCTCTTAGCCACATTAGTATGTGATGTCATCAGAATATCTCTGCAGATATTCACGTGTTAAAGAACCTAAAACATTTCTTTGGAAGCCCAAAATAATAAGTAGGTAAAAAGTTGTCCCAAACTAGTATTTTCATTGTATACAATATGTAGACAGGAACAACCCCAGATGACAGAAACAGTTATTGTCTACCATAGAGCTGGTGAGAGAATCCGAGAGACATCTGAGATCAGTCAAGAGGAGCTTGGAGAAGAGCAACCCAAACAGAACCCAGAGAAGCAGCCAAGCCTTGTAAGACGGAATCAGATGTGACACTGACATCACAGTTAGCCTGGTACCATAGGAACTGGAAGTTAATTTCTGTTTTTCTTCCATTCTTGTCCCAAGACAGCATCTGATCCCACAAAACATGTCCTAGGAGTGTCAGAAACTTGTCACATGGACAGCATCAAATTAGTTCTAATTTTAGTATGGAACCATAAAAAATATTTTTAAGGAACCAATACACAGTACAGTATTGGAAAACAAAGTTGAATGACTGACATTACTCAATTTCAAAACTATAGCAATCTATACAGAATGACATTACAAAAGGGGCAGTTAAGTGGATCATTGTCATGGAGAATATAAAGAGAGAAATAAACTCACATAAATATAATCACCTGATCTTCGGAGCGGAGTGAAGGCCATAGACGCAATGGAGAACAGATATTTTTTCAACTACACTGAGAGAGGTGTGGGATGAGACTAGACATGGTCTTTACCCTTTCAGAAATGTTAACTCCAAGTAGACCACAGACTTAAACGTAAAATGCAGAAGTATAAAACTCTAAAGAGAAAATATAGAACAGAATGTGATAGCCTCGGATTTGATGATGTCTGTTTAGACATAACACCACAGGCATAATCAGCGGAAGACTCAACTGGAAATCTGGATCTGGCTCATCCTAAGAAGCCCTGCTTTGCAAAAGGCACCATTAAAGAGATGCCTCCAAGATCTTAATGGGTATCTCATCAGAGGAGATCCACAGATGGCGAACAAATTGTGGGAAGAGGCTGTGCATCATTGGTCATTGGGGGATGCAAATAAAAATGGTGATGAGACACTGCCCCACACCGTTAGACTGCCTTAAGCCAAAAGCAATGAACACCTCAGGCTACGGAGAAAGGACACTTTTGCTCAGTGCTTGTGGCAATGTGAAATGGAATTGCTATTTTGCATGGCTTGGTAGCAGCTTCCCATAGAACTTACTCTATGATACAGCAATTGCACCCCCGGAACAAAGAAATTGAAAACTTTTATCTACACAAAAGAACCTACATGTGAACATTTATAGAAACCTCATTCATAATTGCCAAAAAACAGAAGCTACCAACATATTTTTAAATAGATCAATGGGAAAATAATTATGATACATCTGAACACTATATTTTTATGAAGTACTTAAAAATGGGCTACTAAGCCATTTAAAAGACAGGGAGGAAACTTCAATATCCTAACTAACAGAAGCCAAAATGTAAAGGTCACACACTGCAGGCTCACTACTCTACCTTATTAGAAAAAGAAAAACTGTGGAGACAATAAAAAGGCACTTGCCAGGGTTCAGGGGAAGAGGGGGAAATTAATAGGCATAGCAAAAAAAAAATGAAGAGAACAATAAAACTACTCTGTAAAGAATGATGATGACAGATTCATTAGTCAAAACAGACAGACTGTAAAACCCCCCAACAAGCCCAAATATTAACTATGAAGCACGGGCAGTAGCCTTGTGCCAATGTGTACACCTCATTGATTACAATGTAACATTCTGCCGGGGGAAACTGGTAAAGGAGGGAGTGGACAGGGAGGGCTAAAGGGTAAATTTCCACCCGTTTTTCAATGTTGCTACAAATCCTAAACTTGTTTGAAACACTCTCTAAAAGAGAAAAATAGACAACAAGCCAGGAAATGTCAGTAAGATAGGAACAAAGTTCACTCCAAGAGAATACCCTCTTGACACAACACAGCAAAAACAAAGCTAAATTTCTATTATGAAGTATAAACCCTTCTAACCATCCATTAAAAATCCCATCAGTGATCTGAAGTAATAGGTCAATATTTTTTTCCTCTTTGTACTTTAGCCCTTGATAAAAACATTAAAAAAATAAATATTTATTCATGCTTTGGCTTTTTCAAGTCTACACACGTGTACCTGAGACGGGATTCTCAGTATACAATGAATGAAAAAGACGCAAGATCATTTCCCTGTAGATACTACATTCTTCATCATTACAATGAGTGAGAGATGACAAACAGCCAACAGCTATTTATTATTGATTTAAAAGTCTTCCCATCTCGAGTAACAGTAATGACAAACAGTGTTATGAAAAGCTTATGGCAACATAAAATAGTGACACCACTTCTCCCAGACATCCTTTTACTCCCTGGTGTGGCAGAGGCATCTTTTGAGACCCACCTTTAGAATGCCACTACATGTCATCAGCTCCTGCAAATCTGCTATGCTGGAGAAGGATCTGTACTTAGCAACACAGAACGTGGCAGCAACAGATCCTGTCTGGGATTGTTGCTAAGAGGCTGTTCTACATGAATTAATTATCAAACATTAACCCTAGTTTCAGAGGGCAAGGAAAGGCTCTCACTTAAAAGGGGTGAATGACCCCCTGGCAGTGGGGAGAGGGCCACCCTAGACCCTTCATTCACATCAGCAATACCATGAGGTCCACAAGATCTGGTTGATCTTCTCGTTTTTAGACTTTCTCCTCCCCTTATCCCTTATTGTTTTCTACGCAGTATTTATCCTTTCTGATATGCCTCCATTTCTTGCAGGGGGGTACAGGGAGAGGATGAGAGTCATCTAACTAGAAAGACAGTCACGTCAGGCCCTCTTTTAAAAAGTGCACACACAA